AGATTTGTTGAATTTAATGTTTGAGACAAATATTACAACTAAATTAGTGTTACATAGTGACAAATATATCGAGAGAATATTTTACTAGAAAGAATTAACAACAATGAAACATGAGTCCAATCCATATAATAGATTAATATCATTTCAAACTCAAAATCGTAAGACAAAGTGTATAGGAATTTTGATCTTTGCTCAAATATATTATTTTGACTCAATTGTTGGAATCTAAATATGAATTTAAGTCTCATATGGAATAAAAACGAGAAAGTTAAATAAATATATCTCAAACTCATTATCTTAAAATTTTAAGTTAGATGTTATATTAATTCCTTACATAATTATCTTAAAATTTTAAGTTAGATGTTATATTAATTCCTTACATAATTGAACTCTGATTTAAACAAGTGTGTTATTAAAATGAACAATGATACAGAATAAATACGCATGGTTGAAAATATTTTTACTTAAAGAGGAGCATAGAAACATAAAAAAACTTATTCTTAAAAAAAAAATTGTTGGAAATACAATTGAGTCTAAATTTTCAGGTTGAAGGATTGATGTCCAAGAGATTTTTCTAATACTCAACTATAAGGTCTAGCTATGGAAAAAGGTTAAAGGCTAATTTTTCTTATTCTTGCGGGTGTCTGAATCCTATCATCTGTTTAAAACCCATGACCTGAAAACTGTAGGAGAGAGTGAGAAGTAGGTTAGTAGGAAGGTAGTTTGTAAGCGATACATAGAAAACATATGAAGAACATGATTTCGTTTGTAAGCGAACGAAGTCCTTTTGGGGGCCTCAACATGGTGTTGCTGAGACAAAACAAGTTCTACAAGGTGCCTGCAAAATGGAAGATAAACAATTTCAGGATATGGGATTATTGTGTTGAACGTCATAAAATCAAATAATTTTTTTTTTCATAGATTTTAGTGGATATTAAGATGATATTTATGTTTGATATGGTTTTGGTGATTCTGATATTTTGCATTTATACACATACTCAAATTGTATATGTTTAATATAATATTTGTTTTGTAAATGTAATGTGTATACTTGTAGGAATGTAAGAAGGTTGGAACTCTAAGTGTTTCTTATATTATATTAATTATGTATTATTGATAAAATGAAATCGATAACATGAATAGTTTTGAACGATGTAACTATAATGAATACTAAGGTAGAGAAAAAAAAGAAAAAACAGAAAGTGAATAAAGAAATAAAGAGAATGGTTGATAAGTAGATTTATTATAATTACAAGTGAAAGTTGTGATTTTATTTATGATAATAAGAAATTAAAAAACATAATTACAATAGTTATTAAAATAAAAATATTTTTAAAGTTTATTAACGTTCAAAAAATTGATCATAAAAGACTGTTATAAAAATAAATTAATTTCATTAATTTGTATAACTTCATTTTGGTAGTTTTTTTTAGCGATATATAGTGAAATTAATAAAGGAAATTTAATTAAGTTCAAAAGAGAAAAACAATAAGAAGTATTTATAAAACAGTTTTATATATAAATACGTAAGAAAAGCAGTTAAAAAATTCTGATAAATAATAAATGTAAGGTGCAGAATGTTTTAATAATAAATTTTAAAATTAGTAGATACTAAATTATGTAAATAAAATATCGAGGTTTATTTCTTAGTTTATTCTAAAATTTTAATTTTAGAAAATTTTTCTCTTTTTTGCATTCTCTCCATCACTAGGTTTTTGATAACAAATTTCTTACTATATTAAGTATATTGTAAGACCCATGAAAATATCTATAGTAGTAAATTTTAGCATTTTATTAGTAATAATAATTTTAATGGATCGCAAATATAATAAAATAAAAAATTATGGTAGAAAAATTAAAATTTTTGATATAAAATTATAGTAATTTTAAAACGAAGGGTTCGAAGTTTTGAGAACTTATTTTAGAAGGTTTTGTAAAAAAAAATTAAAAAATAATGATAGTGGATAAACACTCCACGTTTGAAGTCATTTATTGAGGGATCATAGTGGTGATTAAAATATTAATATAATAAAATAATATTAAAATAATAAATAATATTAAAAAATTGTTAAATAGTAAAATTTTTGGACTATAAATAGCCATGAGAGAGGAGGTTATTGTGCACAAAGAGAGGAAGAATCAAGTGAGAAATCTTAAGAAATAGAGAAGAAAGAGTTAGGAAGAAATTATTAGTTGCAAGAAGAGTAGAGGTTCTGGAGGATTTTCGGGGAAACAAATTATGAGCAAGAGATTAAGTCTGGAATAGAGGTAGGGGGAGCTAACCTTTCTAAGCTTTTATATTATGATTTAGTATTGTTTTATTACTATTCATGTCTTGAAATTTTGTGTGAATACTGTTAAAGAAAAACATATGTGCTTGTTATATATCTATCTATATTGAATTTCTGTGTTAATATTATATGTTGTTGTTTTGAATCTGTAAATAAGAAATTTGTTAAAAACTAGTTGAGGAACACTTTGGCTAAGGAAAGACTTGGTACTTAAGTTGTCGATTGTGACGCACCTCTCTTTCCTGGAAGTCTACTCAACAAGTTTTTAACTTAAATCTTATTGAACATATTATGTAATGTTAAATTATTGTGCAACATATCTTGTTGGAATGAAAATTTATGATGAATTCATGTTATTGTGGTGGATATGGAATTATGAATTTGAGCATGGTATGAGTTGATGAATATGAACATGAAATGAGTCACGTGGAGAGATTCTGTAATGATATAGTATAAGTGTATATGTTGATGTTGAGGGTCCTGTTGTTGGAGGTTATCCTGATACTCAAATAATCATCCAGTCTTAAGTAGAGAAGGATGAATTATGTGGTGAGAGGGGCAGGAGGTCCTGGTCTACGTGCCGGTTTTGGACATAGTGTTGAGGACTAACCTTGTGGATGATATAAAATATTTTGGACGTGTATTTGTAAGAATAAGTAGAAGTCATCACAAGTGCATAACCTCCCGTGACCGCTCATCAACGTATCATTCGGATGAGTGTCCATTGGGTATTGTGGGATGAGTGTCTATTAGGGATTGTGGTATGAGGGGACGAGTGTCTATGGTGCGATTGTTGTATGATAGTATAAGGGTGTATGACATAATTATTGTATGATGTTTGTTAAGTGTATCAATGTAATTATGCATGTTTTACAAATGATTTGAATAATGTTAGCTCAACCCTACTTGTTTGTGTTTGTGTTTGTGCGATGATCGTATAATTCGTTATACGGGAGCAGATGAAGGAATATCGTCCCATTCAGTGCCAATGAAGAAAGAGATAGAAGAATAAATTAGAAGAGCTCGAGTTATATTTATGAGTTTTTAGTTGAAATCTGAGTTTAAAACATATATATATATATATATATATATATATATATATATATATCTTGTATGAACTCCTTTATATTCATTATGAGTGGTGGTGTAATGCTACAATATATCAACTATGAATTATCAAGTGTGAAGTATGTATATTACCGTGTGATCGAGTGTAGAAATGTTACAATATTTATAAAATCTATTAAATGTCGAGTATGAGATTATGGGATGTTACATTAATTGTATCAGAGCGGTTCGTCCTTAAGACGACCTAAGAGTTGTGGATTTATCCTACGAACTCATATTATGAATCATAATGACAATAATTCTCTGTGTGAACAGAGAAATGACATGCACACAACCCAACTGTGAAACCTCTAATATGCCTAGCTATGCAAGGGCTTTGGAGGCTATCACATCTGCTCTTCAACAACAGGGCGCTGCTTTAGTGCAACAGCACGAAACGACTGTGCAATAATTAGAAGCGGCCAGGCTGAATTCTGAAGCCTGCCAAAGAAAACATGTGGAAGCCTTAAGACAACTATATGAGAATGGCACGTCTGTGGAAGCTCAACCTCATAGGATTCAGGAATGGACCTTAAAAAACTTTCTACAACACCGTCCACCTACTTTTAATGGGAGGACAAGTCCGGATGAGGCTGATCTATGGATAAGAAATATGGAAAAGATTTTTTATGCGAAAAATTGTTCATCAGAAACTAGGTTGGCATACTCCGAGTATCAGCTGTTTGGAGAAGCAGAACACTGATGAGACAACATGAAGCTAGTATTAAAGGAAGGTGGTGAGATTATTACCTGGGAACTTTTTAAGAATAAGTTTTATGCTGAGTACTTTCCGGACAGTGTAAGATACGCAAAAAAGGTGGAGTTCTTGCAGCTCATGCAAGGTAACAAGTCGGTAGCTGAGTATGCAGACAAATTCAAACATTTGGGACATTTCTACACCCAACCAGCAAATGAAGAATGGAGGTGTAGGAAATTTAAAAATGGATTGAGAGCTTGAGAGCAGACATACAATTAGCCGTGAACCCTTTAGCTATTAAAGAGTTTTCTGCTTTAGTGGAACATGCCAAAGTTGCGGAAAGGTTAACAAGTGAGATTGAAGTACAACAGAAGTCACAAAGGGTGGGAGGACCATCTGGGTCACGAGTTGGATAGAATGTAAGGATCTGACCTTATGAAAGACCGCAACCTCAGAGGAATTCTCATCAGCAATAACCCCAACAGAAAATAATCCGATGTTACATCTGCGGAGGACCTCATTTGAAGAACGGTTGTCCACAAGTTACTGTGCGCAACAAATGTTTTCTTTGCGAAGCATAAGGACATTTTGCCAGAGATTGTCCCTCTAACAGAAGAGAAACAACTCAACCTCAACAACCACCTCAACAGAGAAGGACTGACGATAGGCCACAAGCGACTGGAAGAGTCTATGCTTTGACGGGAGCAGAAGCTGCCAAATCAGGTAACCTCATCATTGGATGTTGTATAATAGCTAGTAGAGACTTAAATGTGTTGTTTGATTCTAGAGCGACACACTCCTTTTTGTCTGAAACTCTTATTCAAGAGTTGAATCTACCCGTGAAAGAGCTGCAATATGATCTTATGGTATCTACACCGACCTCTAAATTGATAAAAACATCGAGGATGTGTCCTCAATGTCCAATAGTTGTAGAAGGACGTAGGTTCAAAGTACATCTTATATCTTTACCTCTACAAGGTTTAGATGTAATCTTAGGAATGGTTTGGTTATCTGCCAATCATATCCTTATAGATTGTAACAAGAAAGAGTTGATTTTCCCTGATCCTGAAGAAGCGGAGTTGTTGTCATTACAACAAGTGTTAAAAGAAGTAAAAGAAGGATCTTCGTGTTTCATTATCTTGACTCATGTGGAAGTTGAGAAAAATGAACAAAATCTTGATATTCCCATAGTTAATGAGTTTAGTGATGTGTTCCCAGAAGAAGTACCAGGATTGACACCTCAACGAGAAGTAGAATTCTCCATCGATTTAATACCTAGAGCTGGACCAGTATCGATAGCTCCATAACGAATGGCCACAGCAGAGTTGGCAGAGCTAAAGAAGCAAATTGAAGAGCTGTTAGAAAAACAATTCATCCGACCAAGCGTATCACCATGGGGGGCACCGGTACTGCTGGTGAAGAAGAAAAATGGTAGCTCTAGATTGTGTGTCGACTACAGGTAGTTGAACAAGCTAACCGTCAAGAACAAGTACCCTCTGCCTAGGATTGACGATTTGATGGATCAGTTTTATGGAGCTCAAGTATTTTCAAAGATAGATCTAAGGTCTAGATATCATCAAATTTTGGTTAAAGCTGAAGATGTACAGAAGACTGCTTTTAGATCGAGATACGGGCATTACGAGTATGTAGTTATGTCTTTCGGGGTAACTAATGCTCCAGCTTTGTTCATGGATTACATGAACAAAATCTTTTGACCTTTCTTAGATAAGTTTGTCGTAGTCTTTATAGATGACATACTCATTTATTCCAAAAGTCGAGAAGAAGATGGTGGGCATTTAAGAATTGTGCTTGGGTTCTTGAGAGAAAAGAAACTGTATGCAAAGTTGTCAAAGTGTGAGCTCTGGATACAAAAGGTGCAATTCTTGGGACATGTTATATCAGCTCAAGGCATAGCGGTGGATCTAACCAAAGTTGTACTGCTACGGTGGTAGAGACCAAAGACTATAATGGAAATACGGAGCTTTGTGGGCTTAGCTGGATACTATAGAAGATTTATAGAAGGTTTTTCTAAAATAGTAGCGCCTTTAACACAACTAACTCGCAAAGATCAACCGTTTGTTTGGACGGATAAGTGTGAGAAAAGGTTCCTGGAATTGAAGCAAAGGTTGACAAATGCACCAATATTGATTATCCCAAATCCAAGTAAGTCTTTTGAGATTTAATGTGATGCTTCACACCAAGGGTTAGGATGTGTGCTAATGCAAGAAAAGAAGGTAGTGGCTTATGCTTCAAGACAATTAAAGGTTCATGAGAAGAATTATCCTACTCATGATCTAGAATTGGCAGTAGTGGTGTTTTCTCTGAAGATTTGGCAACACTATCTTTATGGTGTCCAATTTCAAGTATTCAGCGATCACAAAAGTTTGAAGTACTTATTTGACCAGAAAGAGTTGAATATGAGGCAAAGGCGGTGGATGAAATTTTTAAAGGATTATGACTTTGACCTTTTGTATCATCCGGGAAAGGCGAATGTAGTAGCGGATGCTTTGAGTAGGAAGACGATACATGTTTCCCATATGATGATCAAAGAATAGAGTTGGTGGAGAAATTCAGATATCTGAAGCTACAGATGGAGTATGAAGTAGATTTCATTAGATGTAGTAGTCTAACTATATCTAGTGACTTTCTAAGTTTAATCAAGGAGAAACAATTGGTGGACCCTAACTTGAAAAAGATAGCAGAATTGATCGAAACAGAACAAACTAAAGAATTTAGGTTAGGATCTGATGGTGTATTAAAATTTAGAAGTAGAGTGTGTGTACCAGACAATGCAAAGATAAAAAGATTAATCCTTGAAGAAGGACACAAGAGTCGTTTTAGCATGCATCCCGACATGACTAAAATGTATCAAGATCTTAAGGAGTCCTTTTGGTGACTTGGAATGAAGAAGGAAGTAGCGCAGTTTGTAGCGGCTTGTTTGACTTGTCAGAAGGCAAAAGTGGAACACCAAAGGCCTGGAGGAATGCTACAACAATTAGACATACCAGAGTGGAAATGGGATAGCATTGCTATGAATTTTGTTACCCATTTACCACGAACAATGAGAAGTAATGATGCCGTCTGGGTCATCATTGATCGATTGACAAAAAATGCTAACTTCTTAGCAATAAATTTGAGAATGTCAATGACTAAGCTGACACATTTGTACATAAAAGAAATAGTGAGACTGCACGGTGTACCTTCTAGCATTGTGTCAGATAGAGACCCAAGATTTACTTCTAGATTCCGGCAAACCCTACAGGAAGCTATGGGCAGCAAATTACAAATGAGTTTCGCGTATTATCCTCAAACTGATGGACAATCTGAAAGAACTATCCAGTCATTAGAAGACCTATTGAGAACTTGTGTATTAGATCATCTTGGTAGTTGGGATGAAATACTTCCTCTTGTGGAATTTACCTATAACAACAATTTCCAAGCAAGCATAGGTATGGCACCATATGAGGCTCTGTATGGAAGACGATGTCAAACTCCGTTGTGCTGGTATCAGGATGGTGAATCCGTTTTAATAGGACCTGAGCTACTATAGCAAACGACCAACAAAGTAAAATTGATACGGGAAAGAATGAAGGCTTCTCAAGGTAGACAAAAATCATATACAGATCAAAGGAGGAGACCGTTAGAGTTTGCGGTTGGGAATCATGTTTTCTTGCGAGTAACTTCAACCACGGGTGTTGGAAGAGCCCTTCGCTCGAGGAAACTTTCTCCTAAGTTCATTGGTCCATACCAAATTTTGAGACGAATTGGGTCAGTCGCTTATGAGATTGCGTTACCCCCTCAATTGGCCAATCTCCATTCAGTTTTTCATGTTTCCCAACTAAGAAAGTATGTACCTGATCCTTCTCACATTTTAGAAATAGAGGAGATTCAAATCCGAGAGGATCTCTCAGTGGAAGTACAACATGTTTGTATAGAAGACACTAAAATAAAGGAACCTAGAGGAAAAACTATCAATTTAGTCAGGGTGGTTTGGGATAAGAGAACATGTGACTCTACATGGGAACTAGAAGAAGAAATGAGGCAATTATACCCTCAACTATTTTCTTGAAGTGTAGAATTTTCGGGGATCAAAATTTTTGTTGTTGGGGAGAATGTAAGACCCATGAAAAATATCTATAGTAGTAAATTTTAGCATTTTATTAGTAATAATAATTTTAATGGATCGAAAATATAATAAAATAGAAAATTATGGTAGAAAAAATAAAATTTTTGATATAAAATTATAGTAATTTCAGAACGAAGGGTTCAAAGTTTTGAGAACCTATTTCAGAAGGTTTTGTAAAAAAAAATTAAAAAATAGTGATAGTGGATAAGCACTCCACGTTTGAAGTCATTTATTGAGAGATCATATATGTCAAGTGGTGATTAAAATATTAATATAATAAAATAATATTAAAATAATAAATAATATTAAAAAATTGTTAAATAGTAAAATTTTTGGACTATAAATAGCCATGAAAGGGGAGGTTATTCTACACAAAGAGAGGAAGAATCAAGTGAGAAATCTTGAGAAATAGAGAAGAAAGAGTTAGGAAGAAATTTTTAGTTGCAAGAAGAGTAGAGGTTCTGGAGGGTTTTCGGGGAAACAAATTCTGAGCAAGAGATTAAGTCTAGAATAGAGGTAGGGGGAGCTAACCTTTCTAAGCTTTTATATTATGATTTAGTATTGTTTTATTACTATTCATGTCTTGAAATTCTTTGTGAATACTGTTAATGAAAAACATATGTGATTATTATATATCTATCTATATTGAATTTCTGTGTTAATATTATATGTTGTTGTTTTGAATCTGTAAATAAGAAATTTGTTAAAAACTAGTTGAGGAACACTTTGGCTAAGGAAATACTTGGTACTTAAGTTGTCCATTGTGACGCACCTCTCTTTCCTAAAAGTCTACTCGACAAGTTTTTAACTTAAATCTTATTGAACATATTATGTACTGTTAAATTATTGTGCAACATATCTTGTTGGAATGAAAATTTATGATGAATTCATGTTATTGTGGTGGATATGGAATTATGAATTTGAGCATGGTATGAGTTGATGAATATGAACATGATATGAGTCGCGTGGAGAGATTCTGTAATGATATGGTATTAGTGTATATGTTGATGTTGAGGGTCCTGTTGTTGGAGGTTATCCTGATACTCAAATAATCATCCAGTCTTAAGTAGAGAAGGATGAATTATGTAGTGAGAGGGGCAGGAGGTCCTGGTCTATGTGCCGGTTTTGGACATAATGTTGAGGACTAACCTTGTGGATGGTATAAAATATTTTGGAAGTGTATTTGTAAGAATAAGTAGAAGTCATCACAAATGCATAACCTCCCGTGACCGCTCATCAACGTATCATCCTGATGAGTGTCTATTAGGTATTGTGGGATGAGTGTCTATTAGAGATTGTGGTATGACGGGATGAGTGTCTATGGTGCGAGTGTTGTATGATAGTATGAGGGTGTATGACATAATTATTGTATGATGTTTGTTAAGTGTATCAATGTAATTATGCATGTTTTACAAATGATTTGTTTCATGTTAGCTCACCCCTACTTGTTTGTGTTTGTGTTTGTGCGAAGATCGTATAATTCGTTGTACGGAAGCAGATGAAGGAATATCGTCCCATTCAGTGCCAATGAAGAAAGAGATAGAAGAATAAATTAGAAGAGTTCGAGTTATATTTATGAGTGTTTAGTTGAAATCTGAGTTTAAAACATATATATATATATATATATATATATATATATAT